TTGAACGCTAATTTGAGTTCGAAACAGCAAACAAATCGTATGGCAAAAGGAGTTCTTCGTACAAAATATATAAAAATTTAAATTCAAAAGAATTTTTAATTAAAAACATATATGTAAAACAGCGTATTCGACTGTCATTTCGCCTTTTTCCAGAACCGGTTTTCGAGTTATTCGAAAAATTGCAATTTGGAAAAAAAAACTGCAATTTAAAAAAACACCATTTGGAAATTAAGAAAAATCAGTAGGGACCAAAAAATAACTGTTATGTCGAATTTACAAATTGAAAACGTTGCCTGAATTCTGAAATTTAACGAAAACGTTGGTTCATAACAGTTAATAGAAGAGAAATATATTTTCCGTTGCTGTTTTCAACGTTTTCCCAACGTTTATTTTTTACGTTGCTCGATAACGGTTATTGCCCAATGTTTAGTTTTTACGTTGCTTGATAACAGTTATTGCCCGACGCTTATTTTTACGTTATCAGATAATAGTTATTTCACTCTCTCACTTTTATTTCATCATCTTTATCTTATTCTCCATCTCCATTTTCATAAATATCCTAATCTTACAACGTTTATCAGACAACGTAAAAAATAAACGTTGTAAAATAACTCTTATCCAGCAACGTAAAAAATAAACGTTGGGAAATACCTCTTATCGGCAACGGAAAAAATATTTCTCCTGCATAACAGTTATCAGGCAACGTAAAAAATAAACGTTGGGTTATAACTCTTATCGACGAAATACAAAATATTTCTCATCTAATAACTGTTATGGAGCAACGTTTTTGCTATAAAACTTATAACTGTTATGTCCCTGAAAACCAGGATAAACCGGTTTTACTTTACATAGCTTTCATACAGTGAAAACCGCTTATGTGGGAATGAAGTCATGACGAAAAATTACAATAAAAATAAATTAATAGTATTTAACAGTAAATTTATTTAGTAGAGAGGGAAAAACTCTCAAGTGGGCCACCGAAAATTGGATGGTCAAGATTTTTTCGCACAAATCACTTTATTCGATTTACAACCATAAAAAAATACAATTTGAGCAATTTTGTAAAATTCGAATTTTTACAAGAGTTATTGTTATTAACTTTTTTTTTATGAATTCGGTAATTATTTATTATTCACTGATTTTTAGCATGTATCTGCTGATTTTTTTCAAGATAATAGTCAATTAAACACGCTTTGGTCTGCTTGTTTCAATTTTTCAAATAATTATTTTGAATAAATTTTTTAATTTTTATAAAAAGATTGTATAAACAAATGGAAGTATTTATTACTTCTCGGTTGGATTGTTTAATCGTTTACATTGAATATCAATCCTTATTCTATAATACATTATTGAAAAGAAAAAAACACGGAAACTTACACGGGGTTGCTAGTTATTAAGGGTATTCATCAAACCTTATAAATGCATTGTAAACCGTATAAAC